TATACGAGGGGGACAGTCATTCCTTTACTTTTGACTATCGAGTGCTCCGATTTACAGGCACTAGATGTCTTATCATGTCGCACTGGGCCGCTCGTACGCCTGAAGCGTCACATCTCCATGAAGTACGACGCAGATACCCCAAATCCAGTACCTGAGAATCATGGCGTAGACTTGAAGGAAGTCGACCAACTTCCAGCGGGGGCCTTTCGCGATCTTGTTGATGAAATGCAAGTTGCTGCATGGTGGCCTTCAGCACCCATAAAGTCCCCTCCAACTGGTCCTCGGACGCGGTACTTGCAGGGCGAAATACGCCTGGAAAAATCCCTGCCGCCCTCTTCACTTTTCGGACATTTCCGAATCACCGTGAGTACTCGGAGTCAAGGAGCTGCTAACTGCCGTAGGTTGATTCTTTCCACTCTCCACAGTATCATGTTGCAATGTATCCTCCACAGGCCGTGACGTTTATACCTATGAACGGCAAGAGAGAGGTGTTGCAATCCACAGTTGTTGAAATAGCTACTGTCTACGCGCGTGGGCCCAGACCACTGTCTTACTGTCCTCCCAGTCATGAAGCATCGCATCTCCTATTACATAGCACTCCTTCTTACACCTCCATTCTTTCAACCTGAACACTTGTCAGGTCGCTCGGCAACATTGTCACCAAGTTGCTATCAAGCTACGGCGTATACGCCTTACTATCTGTAATGTCCACTTTCATCTTGACCATTGGAGTTTGCGTGCGATACTAGTACAACTGAGGCGGCATCCTAGCTCCCCTCAGGCTATTGAGTTTTGACACTCTGAGCTCAAGCTTCTCCCACATGAAGCTCAATGTCGCACCTGCGACTATATTATGGTCTTCAATCGTGTCAAAACCTGCCTTACAGACCGAAGATAACAGACCAAACCCTTCGCAATGACAACTGAAACATGACTGATAACCTTGTCCTGAACCGTTGACTGCACATACACCGGCATCCAACAAGCACCTACTAAGAGGTTTCATAAACATCGAAAGAAGAGAGAGACCGAGGAGCTAGGAACTATTATCCACGGAATGATTATACATACATAGACTGAATTTATCATACTTACCGCTCTACTTTCTTGTGGACACAAGCAGCAGCGGAACGGCTCGGAATGACGCGAGCGACGGTCTCAAAAGCGCTTCAAAATGAGATACAGCTAAGACGAAAGGGATCCTCAAGTCCTAGAATAGCAAGCGTTCATGTGCACTTCACACCGAGAAGAAGTCTGATCGAGCGGGTCGGTATGGCAAACTCCTGTTCAGTAGCATTTCTCCTAGCCTCTAGTATAGCCTGGCGCAATTTCTCCTCTTCGGCACATTCTCCGGGAGAAAGCAGCTCCCGCCGAGGATACGGCCAACCCGCCTTTACCAAGGAGTGCCACAATGACATGCGGACTTGCATATCACTGAAAGACAGGCACATTCAATATACGATAGGTTCATAGTTGGCAATATGCTCACCCATAATAACGGTCGACCAACGCATCAAATCTGTCCCTACTCGCGCGTTCGTCGCAGTCAGCGTCCTCCCACCCGTGCAACCGCAAGGAGCGGTCGTTCGCGTCTACTCTTTTCAGCAGTTCATCCCACATCGCTTCTTTCACAGAAAGCACCATCCGCACAGCCTGATATAGGTGCATAAACAGAGCGTCGTTGGGCAGTGACTGCAGTCTCTCCATCCGAAAGAGGCCAGAAGACGACTCGTCTCCTATACGCGTGGTCTCCGTCGGCGTGAGGACGGCCACCGATCGTCGTTTCATGGATGGCTCGTCTATCGGACTCCGTGCACTAGATGATGTCGACAGTGTCCGGTGAAGTTGGACTAGCGCCGGGTCAGACTCTGTGGAGTTTTCCGAGATTCGGGAGAGCGTCCGAGTCAAGGAAGTGGCACTCGTGAGCACAGAATCCGCGTCGACCAGTGTAGATGTGGAGGCTGAGTCCGAATCTGTACTAAGGGAAGTACTCGGACCAGGAATGAAGGCAGCGGCGGGTTCCAATGGGTCGGATGTAGTTTCCTGAGCAGCCAAACAAGCAGGGACTGCTTCGGTTGCCCTTGGCGGAAGAGGTGCTATGGGTGGCATAGGAAACCGAAGAATAGGAGGAGATACAACGTGCCGGAAGGTTGTAGTGAAGAAGTCGGGCAAGATGGCTGATAGTGACTAGGTCAACAGTGCGGTTCAGTGAGCGCATGCGCTACACAAAGGTGCTTACAGGTTGGAGTAGGATTGATGAATCTACTTTCGAATACGGAATAGAATAATTCCTCGAGCAAGGCGTGAGCGTGGGGAACCTTGCGCGATGTCGGAGAAGGGAGGAAGGACTGTCGAGACCGGCCTGGTAGATTTGGTACGCGCTCTTCCAGATAGCCATGTAGGGGGTCAGTGAACCATCTAGGAAGTACGGGGAAGAGCGCGTCTAGACAATGTTCATGGTCAACAGACTAAAAGCAGGGCAATTAACGATGTTTACCCTGTTGAATGAGTTCAATGAATCCTCCTGGACGTAGAACGCGGTTTAATTCCTATTATGAAATATATCAGCACCGCTTCTTGAAGTACGCACTAAGAACACATACTCCGAACATAGTATGCCACTGGAATGATTGTGAGATTTTACTGTTCCGTTTGAATATATTCAGTAAATACTCACTTTATCCTCCGGGACTCCTAAAGCAATCCCTTCCAAATGAATATAATCGAATTCATTGTCAGGGAAAGGCAATGGCTTAAGGCTAACGTTTTATCGGTTTCCCAAGTATCGTGTGATAGCATTCACACTCACAAATTACCGTGGACCCATTGAATGCGTCCAGCTAGAGATGGCTCCAAGAACTTGAGCGGGATTTGTATGTCCACGAGGTCGAATCCTACCTATGCCATACGTTCAGCACTAGGGTGAACTTTACGGTGATAGGTTGACTTACGAACGTAGTCTCTGGGAACCGTTGGGCAGTGTCAACAACCCAATCACCGAGCTAGCATGCCGAGTTATCGCTTCACATTCCACAATACCGCAATCGGGCAGGATACGTACGGCAGTGCCCAAATCCAAGCACCGCTTCGGAGGGTTCCCTTTGAAGTCAGTGAAGGTTTGGGTGTCCCTCGCTTTCAAGATCAAGGCATGATCCAGAGCACATCTGCAGCAAAGAAGGCTCGTCTCTAAGTATATGTAGAAATATTTCCCCCAACACAGTCAAAAAGAAATGACGGACTGTTCGAGGACTTCTCTATTGAATGAAAACGGCCAGGGAGCTTCTTCCCGACTGAACGTGTGAAGCTTGCATCCATTCCGATAATTGAACATTCTATGTCTGCTAGAGGTACTACTACTATCTGGGTTGGGCTTCACGTCCCGGGAAGAGGTCCCTGACTGGTGTCGGATTTTTGCCGTCATCTGTGTGTCCTATGGCGGAGAGCGGGAAGTGATATGTCGAGCTGCGGGGTTGTGGTAGAACATGACCGTCGGGGCCGTTCATTAATATGCATTAGGGGGGGGGGGCACACTGGGAAATCCAAGCCTAGCTCGAAACAAAGCGCATCACAATTAATGAAGAATGATCCCGATCCCATCAGATCGTCACTGAGTTATCCGGCAACATGGCTTAGTACAACAAAATGACTTTGCGCTCTCTGCCACTGCAGGGGGGACCCGTTGAACGACCGTGACAAGTCCTGAACAACTCCACATCCAGCAACACCCATACCGGGGGGGGGGCTCAAGATCTAAACTCGTACCTTGGGAGTCGGAGCTATCTCCACAACAAAGGAGCGGCGTTCATGTGGGAGAAAACGGGTGTGTCACCATGCGTGAGCAGCCGTCGGCGTTACACAGGGGGACGTTCTCCTTGAGATCCTGAAACACTCCGAGCAAGTCGTCTTTTCACATATACAACGGCGCTGTACTTACGAGCTACCGTCTGTAGGTAGCCTATTGCAGGTTCCTACATGATCGCTGGGGCTTTCCTTACACAAGCCACTAGGTGATAGGGGACCACGAGATTGCCCATTAACCCATCAACCAGATATCGTCCGAGTCTCGGTATGCCGGAATGGAGGCGCATCTCTGATCGACCCCCGGCGTATTCTTTTCTCGTAACTGCAGGGCGCAGGGGCATCACCGCGCATTCGTATCCCCTTAAATTGGCTTAAGTACCGTTCTCTGCTTATCAATGAACTCACATCATCCCCGCTACTTGGAGCCAAGGCGTAGTAAGTGGCAAACAAGCTTTACTTATTAATACTCCCAAGTGCGCTCGCTTGAGCGACGCGGGCTGGCGGGCGCAGCCGGTTGTTTCGCACTTTATCATGGCAAACCTTGTTCTGCCACGGGCTGTGGGGGGAACAGATTTCCCTGCAGTCAGGTGAAAGGCAAGCCACCGGTTGGGGACTATCCGACGGAACTTTGCAAGATAATCACCTTGGATCGGAACTCGCTCAATTGCTTGGCCGACCCCTCTCTCCTCCCCATTCTGCGTTCAACGTGACCGGTACCGTCCTGGCAGAGGTCTTCGAAAGTGTACCGGTGAAGCGCACGTCACTCGACACCCACAACTTTACCGACGGGCCCCTTATAGGTCATCGTGACGGTCAAGGAAATCCGTGGATATTCTCAAAGTGATTCATTTGTGTGCCTCTCCGTCGATTCAGATGATTATTCTTGACATTGGTTTGTACGAATCTCTCCCGTGGGACACATAAATGGCATGTCAAAGAAGTGTACGCTGTGCCTGCAGCAGCTGATTCACCGGAAATTTGAATTGTTTCTACGTTAATCTATTTACAAAGGTCATGTAATTTGGATTAAAGATTGATACGGGGACGCGAGACATGCCCCTGTAATGTCGGGATGTACATCAATAAATATAATCCAGCGATAGCCTCTTGAGAGACGCTTCCATGTTGAAAATGCCATATTTACTCTTTGTCAACTGTTTACAACCCTTGTAGGAAAAGATTAAAAGGCAAAAGACATTTGGTGGCGGCGAGGTTCGAACTCGCGCGGACTCACGCCCATTGGGAATCAAGAAGAAACTTAAATCCAACGCCTTAGACCAACTCGGCCACGCCACCCTTGGGCTGTTTCTCGGGTAATACGATTATAGTGAGATGGTCAGTGGGTTCCCCTTGACGATGTCGAACATGGACCAAACAACGCGTCAACAGGGAGACTCGGGTTGGACACACATTGTAGTGGACCCACAAAGTGTTTGTTGTCGTCTTGTTGTCGCCAGTGTTCGTGTTTGAGCCTCTTCTTCACGCTTGGTTGCTGACTCTCCAACAGGCACGGCCTCCTCCGACTACACATTCGTTATAAAACAGTAAGTCACGAACAATGGGTGGGAAATTGAGTGCCATTGTTCCTCCGCTCTTCACACTCGTCACCCGCCACCGGAGTCTGATGTTCGTCTTGACAGGCGTTTTGTCAAGACACAAATACTTACCCAACGTCACGAGCTCACGAGAAATATTACAGGCCACTTATCCACGTATGTTTTATTGGCACGTCCACTCTCAACTTGCTCACTCACAACACTCTCGTCCGTGATGCCTCCCTCCCGTGCATCATGCATACCCTCCCTACGCAGAAGACACCGCAACGACCACAACGAAAACATCCGTCCCTTTACCAACACCACAAACGCCCCGCCCACCACCAACTACCGTCCGTACCCCCCAAGCAGCCGCATCCCCGTACCGATCTTCAGTTCGAGTACAGGGACCTGGAAAGTGGACAAGACGAACTCGACCCTGGGCCAGAAGAGCGCGCAGAACGCGAACGCCACAAAGAAGAACAAGTTCACCGCATCCAGTCTGAACGCGTTTTACACCGTTCAAAAGAGCAGGCCTACCAGCGCAAACAAGTCCTCAACCAGCTCCTCGTCTACTATCACCGCCCCACTACTCACCAACACACAAAAACTCAAATTAAAGCTCAAGTCTAAAATGCCTTCCTACTACCCCACGTCAAAACGTCCCGAAAAGCAGCAACTGCAGCCCCCGCCCGCTCCCGTCCCAAAATACAAGCGTCCCCCGAAACAACGCGAGATGGACGACTTCCTCTCGAGCGACCTCGATCTCGAAGAGAGCTTTGCGAGCAACATGTCCCTCAACTCGCCCGAGAGACACGACGACGACGACGACGACGGATTCGTTGACCTCGGCGACGAAGACGTCCCCATGGACATCTCCCCGGCTCCTCCTTCCTCTCAACGCATGATCCCGAGCTTCTTGAAGAGCGCCGGCAGGCCGAGGTCGCGCACGACCGTGGACGAGCGGAGGAGCTTTGGCACAGATGTGAGCAATGATGGAAGCAGTGCCCGCTTGCAGAAGGGTACGACGGGCGGGAAGAGATTGCAGAGGGGCGCCTTGCCGTTTGAGTGGACGACTTCCGCCGCCGCCGACAAGAGTATCGGCGAAGAGCTGTTTGGCAAGGTACTTTCTTTTATTTTTCAAAAAAAGCGGTAAACTCAGCCCCTTCTTTTTTAAAAGCCTGCTGAGCCGTCCTCGGATGCGATGGACATCGATTCCTCCTTTTCACCCGCCCGTCCCCTCTCCACAGCCACCATCACCCAGCACCACCCTCACCAAACGTCCATCTCACCCCCTCAGGAAGAATCGTTTGGCGCCTTCTTTTACCGTCCCGCATCGCCTACAGCAGCGCGCCGCTCGCTGAACCTAGAACACCCGTCTCCCGCTGGCATCGCCGCCTTTGACGAGAGCTCCCCCGTGGTGCAGCCGCTGCAGAAGAAGAGAAGGTCGCTTTCGCCTGAGGAGGAGGATAACCTAGGGAGCTCGCCTGCGCCGATGATGAGCTCCCCGTCGATGCATAAACTCGAAAGACTCCAGTCGTTGTCCAAACCGATGCTCAGAGGCATCGCCGAGCCGCTTGGCTTGAACGCGAACAACAAGCGGCCGAGGAGGCCCGTCCTGGTCCCGTCTGCCACCATGAGTGGCCACCCCATTGAAGGGCCGCTCAAGAGCGCGTACCCGGATCTGCAGACGGTCGAGCAGCAGCATCGCCAGAGGGAAAGCGAAACCATGGGGAGGCCGCACGTTGTCCCGCCCGTGCGCCGTGCGTTCTCTGCGATGATCCCGTCGTCGATGGCGACGAGCGCGATGGACACCTTTTCGTCCTCGGAGGGCGGCGGCGACCTGTCGTTTTCGATCGACGGGGACGACGCGCGCGGGCACCCCGCCGATGTGAGCTCGCCGGCACAGGCGTATACGAGGCGCCATCAGCAGGGGAAGACGATTCGGAGGTGTGATGGGACGGATGATTTTAGGAGCGTGGCCGCGGCGGGGCAGAGTCCGGGGTTGAGGAGGAGTGAGGAGAGGAGGAATGAGGAGAGTCGCCAGCAGCAGCAGCAGCAGCAGGGGGTGGAGAGGGATACGCCGAGGAGTAAGTATTTGAGTGCGGGTGGGGGGAGGGGACTGGGAGGGTTTGGAGATAATGAGGCGCATGGGAAAGTTTTGCCGTGTCATCGTGTCAAGGAGGATGGGCTTATGCGGATTACGGTTCAGACTGTGAGTTGCATTTGTTTCTCTCTCTCTCTCTCTCTCGCTGATCGTGGGGCGCGCGGACAGTTGAACGCTCTTCTCGACGGCGCGTACAATTCCCAGATCGACAACTTCCACATCATCGACTGTCGGTTCGATTACGAGTACGAGGGCGGGCATATCCCCGGCGCGGAGAATATCAACACGACGTTGGGCGTCGAGGAGTTCTTGTTGGGTGCGAGGGCGGAGAAGCCGAGGCCGTCGATCAGTGGCGATCCGACCAAGAAGACCGTCCTCGTCTTTCACTGCGAGTTTAGCTGCAAGCGCGCACCGACGTTGTAAGTTCCCTCTCCCCTCCCCTTGATATTGATATTAATATATATATGTAATATATAAAGTGCCAAGCATCTGCGCTCCAAAGACCGCTCGATGAACAACCACGTGTATCCGAACATCCACTACCCCGAGGTGTACGTGCTCGAAGGCGGGTATTGTCAGTACTACGAGGAGTCGAGCGCGCGGTGCCGGCCCAGTGCGTATGTGCGGATGGACGACCCGACGTATGCGGTGTCGCGCAAAGAGGACCTCGACCAGTTCCGGAAAGGCAAGTTTGGACGGACCAAGTCGTATGCGTACGGCGACGGCAAGAACAGCAGCCTCGCCGCCGCCCTTCAGCAGCACCAGCCACCGTCGCAGCTCCAGCACCAGCAGCATCAGCCGAAACGCAATTCGGCGCCGGCGTTGTTTGCCGCGGCGGCGGCGGCGGCGGCGGCGGCGACGGGGAGTGTGGCGCGTACGAGGCGGACGCCGTCGATGATGATGAACGGGCTGATGCAGACTCTGCAGGAGGATTCGAGTGGGGGCTGTGCGGGCGGGAGTGGGAGTGGGAGCGATGAGGATGAGGATGAGGATGATGGGGAGGATCTGGGGGACAGTCCGTGTCCGCCGCCGAGCAAGAATGGGGGTGGGATGCCGTTTTTGGGGAAGAAGATCCCGAGGGCGCCGTTGGCGAGGGCGGAGACGTATGGGCCGTCGAGGATGACGATTGGGTATTGAGAGGGATGGTCAGGTCCCCCCCTTGTTCTTTGAGCATTCGCGACCTTCACAGTGCGCGTATACCCAAGGCTCCCCCGGCAACGTACCATGTTTTTTTTTTCCCCCAGCCTCGTGACACAACAATACAACAACACAACACATGCATATATACGGCCGATATATTCGATACACACCCTCCAACCACGCCGCGCCATACGGTCATATCACAACATACAACATTGCTCTCATCGTATACCGGACCTCGTTGGTATCGTTCGTCCGACACCGGTGTTTCTCACCAATACCGCCGTGCAGACGGAGAACGGGGGATTCCTTGGTTCTTCGTGATCCAATTTATTTTTTTTCTCTTTTTTTTTCACCATCATATATTCATCCTCATCTTTACTATTTATCACAATATGCAAAGCCTATGGACGGTCTACGACCGACGTTCCATTTCCCCATCCATCTCATCCCTTCATACTCTTTTCTCTCTCTCTCTCTCTCTCTCTCGCTCTCTCTTCTCTTCTCCTTTACCACATTCAACACAAGGCGCAATCTTTCTTATCCTCTTCCTCCTCCGTCTTGGCGTCCCAACAACCTTTCACGTGGCGTTTCTCTCTCTCTTCCTACTCTGTTTGCTTGTGTGTCTTGCCGCCCCATTCGACAATCATCAGCTCGCTTTCTCTGTGTAAATGTCGATGGAAGCTTGCACAGTGTATTCCTCGTCTCACTTTTCGTCCTTTCTTTCTTTCTTCCTTTCTTTGCTATTCCACCCACTCTCCACACAATTTTGACGTCAATCTCTCCAAACCGTCGGTGCCATCTCCTCTTATATATATAATATAGTGCTCTCCGATTTCTTGGACATCGTTTACGACTGACGAGGGGATCCAATCCTTCAAGCGGACAAACCCACTATTTTCTCTTCTCCCTCTTTCTCAATCTGCATCTCCTGCATCTTCCCCCCATCCTCACGATATGACTCTTTGGATACTTGATTCTCGCTATCAACTTTCCTAGAGTAATGATCTCACTGTCTCATACCTCCATATTATGATGTATCTCCGAATAGTTAGCACTATCGTGGTCTGGCTTGGTGTTTTAATCGATCTTAACGCTTACATCTCACATTCTTTAAAGATCCTCTCTTGCGGAGAGGCGTTATCGTCGTGCAACAGTATGCAAGGGAAAGGATTTATTGACAGATTGTTATACAGTCGCCCTTTGTGCGCGCACGGTTCTCGGTTCACTCCCCAGGTCATCAAAGAATCTGCGGCGAGGAGTCTAAAGTCAGTACGAGATGAAGCAAAAGAGCTTAACACAGGCGAAGCGCATACATCTGCAATGCTGTCACGGCCTCCTGGCATTTCGCGGACTCTGCAGAAAAAAGGGATGCGCAGTTCATTATGACCCGTTCTTGACTCCTAAATGCACTAGTGGGACGTACTTGCGAGTGGGTTTCCACTCAGGCGTGGGGTCAGGTCCGTCCCACAAAGACGCTATCGAATCCCTAGAGAGTAGCCCCCAAATTGCCC